GTTCCATGGTGAAACACTCTGCTCTATAATGCCAGCAGTCAAGTATGCCTCAAGTTTAGATTTTAATTTTGGAAGGAGCACATGCGGGATTCTATACTGTTTGATGTGTATTGGCTTATCAGATTTGAGTTCAAACTCATGAATAAATTTTGTAGTCCCTTTTAAGTCCTTGATGGCCATTGCAAAACAGTGAGAGTTTTCTAAGATGACAGACCTAACCTTTTCTCCCCATTCACTGCCTTCATGAGATATAGAAATTTTTTTGATCATGCTATTGGTGATTATTTTTTTACATGTCACCGAAATTTTGTTATCAGTCTGTATATCATCTTCATGTACCCCAGTACATAGCATCTTGGACACACTTCTTATTATACTTGAATCACACATGATAAAATCCCAAGTATGCCGCTATAACCAAAATTGCTATCAGTGTCATGAATTACGAATGGGTGACATATAATTTTGCCAGACAGCGTTCTTACATTTAGATTGATTCCTTTATGGTATCTCATGGGTGTATCTCCTATGCCCTTTATAGACACGTCCATTTCGAGAAATTCTGGACTGTCAAGACCCATAACTATGTTTTGGTCAATTAATGATTTCTCAGCCACAGTATCAATCAGAAAGACACCATTCAAATTACCAACATGCCCCCTGCACATAGGTAGACCCCTTGCACTCTGTTCCAGACCAGACCAGTCACTCCCGCCATGCTGACCCCCATGGCGGGAAGCTTCTAGTTTAAATTGACTCTACGGGGGCAATTTCTACAAATATGCCCCATATCATCACACTCAAAACACTGGTTGTTCCCGACAAGTTCTACCCCTTCTATTTCCCAACAGAGCACTTTGCATTAATGTTGTGAGGCTTTTCACTTTATTTCTCAATTCCTTTATCTCATCTTCATATGATGAGCTATTCTCTCTAACCTGATTTACACAAGCCTTCACTTTGTCCACAGCAACCCCCTCAGATGAAACAACCGCACATTTTGACTCCACTCTCGCATAACGTTTCCTCTGCTGGACAAAATTCTCTGCTTGCCTAACTGCCTCTTCCAAATTTTTAGGTTCTAGCCTAATGACCTCCTGCTGAATTGGTAGTACAAGCCCTCGAATAAATTGCTCCTTCAACATTTCACCCTTTATATTGTTGTACTGAGGCGAGCTAAGCTCTAAAACCTCCATGGCAGACATGACTCTCACAGTAAACTCCCTCACACTTTCAGCCTTTCTCTGCTCAGTGCGGATAAATTCCTCCATTGCCACCGCAGCATTTGTAGTTTTGGGCGAGAACTCACTAATCATGTCTCCCTTTATCTTTTCATAGTCCTCACCAAGCACTGCCTCACTCTCACAGAACAGTATTAATGGTCTACCCTTCAACCTGGTCCTTAAGGTTACTATCAGGGTCGATGCATCCCGCAATTTGTCCAGGGAGGCCATTTGTTCAAAACACCTAAAGAATTGTATTACATTTATTGAACCACGTTCACCAGAAAAGAACAGGACCATTCCAAGGTACCCTGATATAATTGGTGGCTCACCTTCACTATTGGAAGTAGTTCCCGGTTCATTAGCATCTCCCTGTACATTAACCGACATCATGACAATGATATATACAGATATATAAAAATCTTACAAACAGTCCTAAATGCAACACCGGATAGAAAATACAAGTTATGACCCTATTGGCTGTATCCTGTCGTGGATGCCATATGTGGGGTGTTGTGTTTTGGACAAACAAAGAAAAAACAGACGGCACTAAGAACAAATATAATCATATATTAAAACTAGGAATACAGCCAAGATGGGGTCATAGGGGAACTATACATACAATAAGACTGGTTGTATTTAGTCCAAGTTCTCAACCTTGTCTTCCTTTTTTTACTTGTTCTGTTGTTTTCTCCCTCCTACCACCAAGTCTTTGAACAGAAAAAGGTATCCCATGCTCCTTTTATATTCCTTATATATAAATCGCTCCTAGCGCCCCCTTGTGTTACATTCCAAAATACAAATTAGAAAAAGAAAATACAGACAAATATTATAACATGTGAATAATTACATTGACATAACATTACTAATAATACACATAAATAATAATATTTTAGTATGAAAGAAACACCACATTTAAGCTTTCATGAAGGGAGGAAAAAAAAAAAATATATATATATATGGTGGGCACCACCACAGTATCTTCTTGTAGCCTAATTAAAGATGGGTACCATAATTGGCAACATGTTAGCAGTATCCTGCAATCTCATGAAACTTCAAAACATCACTTAGTTGCTCAAAAATTGTGGTTTGGGCTAATGAAATCTCTCACAATAGATGTAGAATCTCAAAGAATCATTAATTCTTAAATAAATCATTGGAATGCAGTTTTGTTATGCATTGTTTCTATTATCAAAATGTTAGGAGAAATGTCTATTTTATGTTGAAAAAGTAAAATAGACAAACTTTATGAACATAATAAAGTAATTTTTTAAAATTCATTCAACTCTTGGCAGAATTGGATCCTGTTATGCAAGAACATGTATGCAGGATTCTGAGAGGAGGAAAATAAAGCAACTTTCTTGAACAAAAACATTCAAAATGAGTTAATATCTGAAAAGAACATCTTTTAAATTTCATTAGAAATAAAGGAAATTCATCTAAAATAGACCTACTTAGAAAAAAAATTTATAGAATATATGTTATATTTTTAACAATCAAACTAATGTTTGTTCGTAGAAATTAGTAATTAATTGAAAGCTATTATATCATACATCATATTAATTTTAGTAAATTAAAAATTATGAAAAATTTGATGATTATTAATATGTTTATAACTTGAATATATAATTTGATTATATATTACATTGTTATTGAATAAAAGATAATACAAAAAGTTTATGAAGTAAATGAATCTAAATTTAAAGTTTGAAAGAATTTTAAATTTTAACTTTTCTGTTCTATTAACTTTTGTTATAAACAGCCTGTATACTGAAAATAGCTTTAGCATTTGTGCCAAAGTACTGAATTAGTTCCTCTAGACGTCTGGCATCTTAAGTGTCTTTGCCTTTAATTATCTAGGAAAAAACAGATTTTAAGACTAATATAAAATTCTGAATTATTTGATATTTGGTTTTTTCTCTTTTTATTTAACTTACTTTTACTTAAATTAACTAATATAATGTATTTATATAGTTTGTTAATATTTAAATATATTTTGTAAAATACTATTAATTAATTTAATATTAATCTTTAAGCAACAATAGTAATTTATAAAATATATATTTTTAATAATAGAAATTTATTTGTTTATTATTTAAAGTAAGTAGTAGTAAATAAATGCTTTGGGTTTTTAATTGTTTTGAAATTATTTAAAAATATGTATTAAAGTAATATAATCTTCCAATTTATAATGGTAATGCATAGCATATTGATTAAAGAAATTATATATATAAATAGTTTAAATTTATCAAGTTATAATTCTTATGAAATATTAATAAAATAATAGTTTTATCTACTAATCTCCTTCACATGGTAAAATATATATATATATATATGTGTGTGTAGACTTTAATACTTATTTCATTTTAGTGTTGGCAGAAATCATTTCATTTCATTGAACCAGCTACATGCTTTTCTAGAATGAGTTTTTCCTTTTTTAAATAGAAATATTTGGCTGTTTATTGAAACATTTTCTTTTAATTTAAATTGCTATTTTGATTTTCAATAAATATAATGTTATGTTATTTAAACTTTATAGATATTATTTAATTCTTCTATCTATATATCAATTAGAAGCATTTCAAATAATATGAATTTCTTGATTGTTATTTAAAATTGAGTTACTGAATGATTTTTAAATATTCTTTCAGATTTTTAAGAAGCCATATAATTTAAATTAAGTATAATTTTTTTCAAGTTGTATAAGATCTCATAAATATTTCTCATATTTTATATTACCAATTAAAACCAATTAATCATCATCATAATAAGTAATAATGGATTTTAAAAGTTTGGAAGATTTAAATGTTCAGAAAATTTGTTACATAAATTGTTCCAATGTTTGAAAGCATAAATTCATAGTTTGACTGAAAATTCATTTTGAACTGTACATTGTTATATGGAAGTTCCTTTGATTTAGTTGTTTGGTTTAATAAGTTTAGGAAGGTGTCTGATAATGATCTGATCTTGCTCAAAAAGCATTTTATACAAGAGAATAAAAAATTACCTCTATATGAATTACTGTTTCTTGATGGAAATTTGAGTTATCGCATTGTAGAAAGATTATGATCAAATGATGTTTTTATATACACCATATGGTATATAACCACATCAAATGGTTATATACACCATTTTATGGTAACATCTTTAATACAAGTGTGGCAACAGCTTTGGTGACAAATCCCAAAGTTGCCACCAGGAGGAACCCCTGAACTGAACAGACCCGGCAACCTGACCTATGACAACACATTCCTTTTGGATACGGACCTCGCTCCAGATGTATGGATTATTGCTCCTGTCTTCAACTTGTACAGTTGTGCCATATTTCATATATTTAATAAATTTTAATCTTTTATTGTATGTGACGTTGTTTGTGGTGATTAATTACACACGAACAAGTAACCACAAACTGGTGACCCGAACGTGATATATGTTTTATGGTGCCTCTACCCGACAAAGAACTCTACTGTGCGACATGAAAATTCCATCCATTCGTATCGGATACAAACGTTGGACTTTCATCCTTTTTGGAACTGCCAACTCATACAGCTAGACCTTTGAAACATGTAACCATGGATAATTTTTCGTGAACGGTTGACTTTTTCAACGAAAAGGTATAGTACACCACACCACATGCTACCCTTCTTTGTTCTCTCGCCATGTGCCTTTACATGCCATTGTTCTTTGTCTTTTCCCCACGTGCTGAACTGTGTGCACAACACATCATTTAAGAATAACCACCTCCGCATTGCCACAGCTACGTAAAAAAAAAACATCATGGCTGAGGCAGAAATTAATGATGATCACCGTCACATAGCACGCATTGCAATCAGACCCCCACCCTTCTGGAAGGGCAAACCTAACTTATGGTTTGCTCAGTTGGAAGCACAATTTTCTATAAATAACATAACTGTCAACGACACCAAATTTAAACACATCGTTGCTGCAATAGAGCCAGAAATTTTAAATTCAGTGCAGGACCTAATCCTCAACCCACCCGACCAGAATAAATTTTCCACTCTAAAGGCTCATCTCATTGACGTCTGTTCGGAGAGTGAGACCTCCAAAATCAGAATGCTTCTTCAAGGGTTGGAGCTGGGAGAGCAACGTTTATCCTTCCTATTATCAAGGATGTGCGACTTGGCCGGAAACCATTTCAGCGAAGACCTGCTACAATCTCTCTGGCTGTCGAGATTACCTCACAATGTACAGGCCATTTTAGCCACATCTAAGGAAAAACTCCAACAACAGGCCGCCATGATGACAAGATAATGGAATTAGTCTCCCCCGCTCACATTCAAACGGTCGAACATGACCTTGCCATTATCTCCACCTTGAAGAACCAAGTTGTGGAATTAGCCCAGCAGGTCAAGAACCTCATCATATCCATCAACAACCAATGCCTCTCCTTCACATGTTCTGAATACCCTCCCAACAACAGGAGGTGTCGCAGCAAATCGCGGCAGAATCAACAGCACAGCACCCCCAACAACGGCATGTGTTACTATCACGCTACCTTTGGGGCGCGGGTGAGAAAATACAAAGCCCCTTGCTCCTTTCGATCGGCGGAAAACTGACCAGGCGGGCGCTTACGGCCAGAAGCCTCACCCGCCACATTGATCGAATCACCATGGCCGACCCTACTACGAAATACAAATTCCTAATTGATACAGGCGCCGACATCTCCGTTATCCCAAAAAGTTCTAACCCCGTATGTATGCAAACCTGACAAGCTAGTCCTCTTTGCTGCAAACAGAATGCCTATTTCAACTTACGGAACAAAACTATTAACACTCAGCTTTAACTTAAAGCGGAGTTTTTCATGGTCATTTGTAATTGCCGACGTAACCCAACCCATTATAGGAATCGACTTCTTAACTAAATTCAACCTATTGGTGGACGTTAAAAACAATCGACTAATCGATGGAGTCATGCAACTTAAGTCTCCTGGTTGCTGGCAGAACTGACCTACAACTGTCACTAACATCACCATTGTGACTAATGACTCTCCCTACCACTGTATTATGGTCAAGTTCACTATCATCACAAATCCGTTGATAATTCATGAAACCAAGAAAATGCCAATCACCTTTCATCACATCGAGACTAAAGGACCACCTGTCTTCTCAAAACCCAGATGGTTACCACCAGATACGCTCCGAGCAGCATGTGAAGAATTTCAGTTTTTAATGTCCCAAGGCATTATTAGGTCATCCAAAAGCCCCTGGGCCAGCCCACTACACATCATCAAAAAGGCAAATGGCCAGTGACGACTGTGTGGTGACTACCGCCATCTCAACGCTGTAACTGTCCCTGACCTCATATACAGGACTGTACTCAGCTCCTAGAAGGCAAAACCATTTTTTCCACACTGGATCTAACCCGCGCCTATCACCAAATACCGGTCTTCCCTGAGGACATTCCAAAAACAGCCATGACAACTCCGTTTGGTTTGTTTGAATACGTCTATATGCCTTTTGGCCTACGAAATGCAGGTCAAACTTTCCAGCAATACATCCACCAAGTCCTACTTGGCCTCGACTTCTGCATCCCGTATTTCGACAATATATTGGTCACGTCCAAAGATGCAGACGAATAAACAGACCATCTCTGCCAAACGTTCCTCTGCTTGCAAGACCATGGCCTAAAACTAAATCCATCCAAATGCATCCTCGGAAAATCTGCAGTTCCATTCCTCGGCTGCATGATTACATCGTCCGGAGTAAAACCTTTACACTTCGTTCATCCAGCGCTCGACACCTGCTCCCACGTGTTTTTGCGAAAAGAAGGTCATAGAACTTCTCTGACCTCCCCTTACGATGGACCCTTCCCAGTTACCTTGTGGACACCCAAGCACTTCACGATCCTAGTCAACGGAAAAACAACAAAGGTTAACATTGATTGACTGAAGCCAGCATTTCTGGACAGCGAGAATGCCAGCACATCGTCAAACTCGTCCAGGACAACACGTCCAGACCCTCCAGAGCGACCAATGACAAACACTCCTAATAACTCTGTGCCTACCAACACAACGATGACACATTCTGGAAGAAGACTCAGGTTCAACCCCCAGTACCTTTAACTTTGTATCTACGGCACTGGGGGGGAGTACTGTGGCGACAGCTTTGGTGACAAATCCCAAAGTCGCCACCAGGAGGAACCCCTGAACTGAACAGACCTGGCAACCTGACCTATGACAACACATTCCTTTTGGATACGGACCTCGCTCCAGACGTATGGATTATCGCTCCCGTGTTCAACTTGTACAGTCACGTCATATTTCATGTATATAATAAATTTTAATCTTTTATTGTATTTGACCTTGTTTGTAGTGATTAATTACACACGAACAAGTAACCACAACAAGTATCTTATTATTTGTTTAGACTTATTTTTGTTAATACAAGTATCCCCCATACAACATGAAACTTCTATAACATGGTTTTGCTCTAACATGGTTCAAAAATTGGGGATATCGCCCATACAACATGATTTCCAATTTTGCTCTAATATGGTTTGAGAATTTGGAAGATCCTCTGTGCAAAATTTCACAATTTTTAAGTGCAAACTCCCATTAATCGATATTTTTTCTCCATGTAAGCATGCATGTTGTCACAAATTTGCCTGTGGATTTTAGAATATTGAAATTATCAATTGTGCCTCTTGTCAGGTTTACTTTAATGAAAGCTAATAGTACAATTTTTTTTTTCTTGTCTAGCTTGCCTATCAAGCATTATTGTTGCTTTCAGACTTTACCTCTTCTGTCACCGTGTTTTGTTTTTATAGATTAATCTTTGTATTTAGTAAAAAAAATAAGTTGATTTAAACATGTTTAAGTAAACATTATTAAACTTTTTTTAACCATAAGTATGTAATCATTTGTAAAAATGATGAATGAAAGACAGTAGTATCTTGTTACTCAAACAATTTGGTATTTGAACACAAATTCTGGGAAAAATCACTCGACTTACTAGAACAAATTTTTGATTAATAACATACACTATTTTTATTTTGTCATCCATAAACATTTTTTATGATAAAGAAATGAAGGTGTTGCTGATATTTCTGATCAAGATCAACAAAATTGCTCAGAAGATGACAATACTTTATAAAAAGAAAACATTCCCATTTAATTAAAATTAACAGTAACATGTAATACAGTACTTTTAATTGTGAATGTCAATTAATTGTTGATTGGAAATAAATTATTGATTGCTTTAATAAACATATTTCTCTTAGTAACAAAAAAGAATAGTTAACTTTTGGAACCTAACCCCATGTTTTGTTTTAGTCCTTTGTTTTGTATAGCACAGATTTGCATAACATGGCACTTTTTCAGAACATAACTACCATGTTATATGAGGGATACCTGAAATGTATTATTCAGTTTAAATACTGTATATTGTTCTGCTGTATTATTTCAAACAGATTTTGTAATTTTATTTGAAATGTAAAAATTTCAAATAAGATTACAAAATCTAACATAGTCATTCTTTATAATTCAAATCTTATTTCAATAAAATACATTATCAAAGTTATAATTTTATATTCTATCTTTTATTTATTTATTAAGCAGCATCATACTTAATATATGAATAAAATGCTTTTTTTAAAAATGTAGTGTCATCATTATATGTTAAATTAGAAATGACATTGAATTATTGTTAATTTTTTAATTGAAAAAATATCAAAGTAACACATGATTTTCTTTTATTATGAAAATATATATTAATTACTTCATATACTTCATAAATTTATTTATCATCATTAAATGGAATAAAATGTATTTTTTAATCAAATTATTTATTAATAATAAGGTAAAAAAACCTGTTACAAAGAGGAACATATGGTATATAGATAATAAAAATATTGTAACTAATTTATGTATGTTATCTATATAACATTCATAAATTAGTTACAATATTTTTCACAAATGTTTTTTTTAATCAAAAACAACATAAAGTTATTTGATATTGGTTTACATAGTAGAACTTTTTGATAAATGAATAAACTTAGTTCTTACTATGGACTTGTTTTTTTTTATAACAGACCTAAAAATGTTGCTTATTTCATATATTTGGTATCTAGATAAATTGAAAGTCTTGAGATATAATATATTAAACTGGAAATACAATCACACCTCATTAATACAAAGTTAAAGGGATTTAAAAAATTCACACTTTATATTAATGAAATTTGTTAACATTGAAATGCCTATCCTCTTTCACCTACAAGACCATAAATCTACTTTGGAGTAATGTAGACTTTACATAAACTGATACAGTAATAATGCAGTTTGACTATGCTTTTTCTAAAATTTTGTAGTTTTCTCAGCTTTTAGAGAATTTTACAGTCTCTCAGGTGATGTGAAATTGAAAAAGTCTTTGAACTACATCAATAACAATGGTTTTTCCATGGAAAAAGCAATTGTTTATAAATATTTAAACTTAATTAACAGTCTGTTTATGTTTATTTTGACATTCATTGACATATAATTAACTCTTGGGGATTTTTAAAATATTTATATATCTTAGGCTGTAAACAGATTAAAGGAAATAATTTTCATCCTTTAGAATAGTGAGAAAATGCAGCTACCATTAGTAAAATGTAACTTTGTTTCCAATCATATTCTGAATTATCAAATGGCTTATATGAAATTCCAAAAGTCTGCAAAATTTTATTAATTTGCTAGCAGATGTGCTATTAATATTACATAACTAGACATGTTATGAATTTTATACACTCTTGTTAAGTTTTTGAATGTTTTGGTAGAAACTTGGTTATGATTTAGAAAAGGTTGTTTTTTAGTATTTTTTTTCATTAAAACACAAGTATTATATTTACACTTTCTTTAATTTAATTTTTAAACAAGTAAGAGTAGAAAACTAGAGTAAACAAAGAAAGAACTACAGCTTAAAAGTTATAAAAACAAACAGAAATTTTTAAAATTTATTTTCTGAAATTTTAGAGCTAGGATTATGACATTTATCACAAACAGTTATCAGCTACAAATGTGTTTACTATATCCCTATCCCATCAGTTAACTGTAGCTCTTCAACATTCACATGAAGAAGAAGAAATATAATAATTTCTTTTTTGATGTGAATTAGTTTAGTATCATTTTTTTAGAGAATTTTGACAAGTTGTTGTTCTGTAATGCATAGTGTGATAAAGACGTAATTATAACTTAAATTTTAAATTATAATTACTTCATTTCACTATATAGTAATGTAAACTCAAAAACAATAAGAACACTACATTGAATGTATTTG